GCGCTCCGCCCCTGGCTTTGATTGGTCGGCCGCGTCCCCGCAGGCTTTCCCGATTGGCTACGGGCGCTCCCGCCGCGCCCGCCGGTTGGCCACCGAGCCGTTTCCCGGAAGACGCAGGTTGTTGCGGTTCCGCATCCGCTGGGAGTGCGAGGTGGCTCGGCCCCCAGCGGCGGCGGGTAGAGTCGGCTCGGGCGGTGCGGGCCGCACTCACGGAGACCCTCGGCAGACCGGTGAGCGGGCGGGGGGCGGGGGGGTCGGGGGCCATCTGTCACCCCGGGCCTGGAGAGCAGCCGGCCCCCCGCGCGAGGCCCGCTGCCACGCGATGACCTGCTGCCCCGCGGTGAACCCGCACGGACGTGCCCCTGCTGTACACCGGGCGTGGATGTACTCCTGCTGTATACCAGTGTGCATGCGCCCCTGCTGTATACCCACGATCATCCGCTGTCCCCTGCTGTGTATCCGCGTGAGCGTGCCCCCTCTTTATGCTCGCGTGCGTGTGCCCCTGCTGCACACCGGGCATGGCTGTGCGCCTGCTGTATACCAGCATGCATATGCCCCTGCTGCATACCCGCGTGGTCGTGCGCGCCTTCCTGAATGATGAGACGCCTGCATACCTGGCAGGTGGAGGTGGACGGAGAGAGGAGGCCGTCAGAAGTGGCCTTGGCAGCTCAGCCCCGGCGGCGTTCCCTACTCCCCCGAGAACAGCCGGTCCCGCGTGGCACCCCCGGCATGAGGAACACAAGCAAGGAGCTGCACGGCGCGGCGAGCCGCTATGCTCCCTGCGGTGAGTGACCCGCGAATGGAGCCCGCGTTTGCCCTGAGCCCAGCACCCTGATTCTGCGCCTGGGACAGGGGTGAAACTAACGTGCCCTCAAACAAAGCAGCTGCTGGGCCCCAGGGTCGAAGCAGCTTAAAGGGAAATGGGAAAAGAAAAGGAAACACAAAAACAAGCAAACAAACAAAAACCAGCTAGTCTTCTTTATGTTCAACAAAAAGAAAACCAGGCTTCCTATTGTTGCCTCCGCTGTTGGAGGATATAGGATCTCTGAAATTGTCCTGTAATAGTTTGACCCTAGGTAAGCCTCAGCTGTTTTCCTGAATGTAAGCACTTGCTTTCTCAGCTGCATCCCAGAGCATGTCACGATCTATCTTCTGCCGGTAATTTATGCCCCCACCAAGTTAACCATGTCTGGGGCTTTAAGGGGCTGGACGCAGAGAAGAAGAATTGGGTGGAGGGTCCTGTGGGGCAGCTGGGCAGAAGGGAGGGAAGGAGAGCTGGATGCTCTGGTCTGTTGTGCCTCTTGTCTTGATTCCTCTCCTTCTTGTGAATGTGGAAAGAAAGGCTGGAGAAGGAGGGGCTGGGGTGCTCCCCTGGGAGCCGCGGGGTGGAAGCTGTTGGGCACCTGCAGCGCTCACATCCTCTCAGAAGGGTAACGGAGCCTGGCCTTCTCATTCCTAAATGAGCTTGTCCAGAGCTCCTCACTGCCATTGGCGAAACCGTGGCT